GTACGCCAATTGTCCCGTCGGTGTTCCGTCGGTGTCCACACGTTCTCCTGCTGATGTCCGCTTCCGCTCTTTTTGTTCTCCCTGCACCTCTTTCCTCGCATGTCTTATTACGTAAGGGCTTCGCCCCACGCCGCCGGCCCCCTGTCTCGGAGAATGGGAGATGCAAAAGCTAAATCATAAGGTCTGGGCGCCGCCGTGAAGCGGTGTCGAGACCTGTTTGTTTTTCGACCCTGACCCTACGGATCTGCGTGAGGGGTGCCGCCGAATGTCAGAAATGTGGCAAATCCCCTTTGTTTTTGGACCCTGACCCTACGGATCTGTATGAGGGGTGCCGCCGAACTTCAGAAATGTAGCAAATCCCCTTTGTTTTTGGACCCTGACCCCGCCGATCTGCGTGAGGGGTGCCACCGAATTTCAGAAATGTAACAAACCCCATGTGTTTTTGGACCCTGACCCCGCCGATCTGCGTGAGGGGTGCCACCGAATTTTAGAAATGTGGTAGATCCCATGTGTGTTTGGACCCTGACCCCGCCGATCTGCGTGAGGGGTGCCACCGAATTTCAGAAATGTAACAAATCCCATGTGTGTTTGGACCCTGACCCCGCCGATCTGCGTGAGGGGTGTAAAATTCTTCCACCCCAGCAACTCAGAGCACACGCTCAGGGCGTGGTAAAAATGCCCGTTTTGGGCATCCCCCCCTCGCGCGGTCCATCAACAAGGAACAGTAAGCAGCAAGAAACATAATTGTAACAGTGGAAACTGGAAGCTGCAAAGAAGCAGAACTGTAACAGTGGAAACTGGAAGCTGCAACTGGTACAGGAAACTGCGAACCTTCGCCCTACAGCCTGGTGGCCCCACAAGGGGGCCGGCGGATACTTTCCGTCCCTCACACCCTCTTTCGTCTTTTCTTCGTTTCTTGGCCCTCGGAGGCCACGGGACCGGGTGCCAGAAAATCTGGGTGGGGATCACGCTCAGCATCAACCATCACAGCACAGTAGTGATGGCATTTCTTTGGCCGCATGGTGGCCTGGTGGTGTCTCGATGGTGAGGTCGATCGTGTGAGATCGATGGTGAAATCACATCGAGACGCCACATCGTCACATTGCTATCGCAGCGCAGTGGTGGTGGCTTCTGTTTGGCCCGATAGTGTTCCGATGGTGTTCCGATCGTACTCAGCACTACCGTCGTTGCTGTCGCCGCCACGCTCATCACTACTGCGGCCATCACCTTGCCAGCAGCAGCCAGCCATTACACTCAGCACACACCATCACAGCACAGTAGTGGTGGCATTTATTTGGCCTCATGGTGCCCTGGTGGTGTCTTGATGGTGAGGTCGATCGAGTGGGGTCGATAGTGGGACCACATCGCGACGCAGCGTCGTCACCACGCGTCGTCGCCAACTCGAGGGCGCATCATCAGCATCGTCATCATCACAGTCGTCGCAGTTGTCGTCAGTTGGTTATTTTTCCCCACACCAACCTCCTTATCACCCGAGGGGTGGTCATGTAGGTGTCTATAAACGATCGGGGGCCGTCAGGGGTGCGCACGCGATGCGTTTGTCCAATGTTGTTGGCATTGTGAGCGGGAGGGTTTGCTGTCCGATTCGTCCCCTCAGTTTTCCCCCTTTCTTCTCCCATAAGGTGCGCTGGAATGCATGTATAGATACACTTGTATATATATATATATATATATATATATATATATGTATATCACTCTCTCTCTATCTTGCTCACTCTCTCTCTCTCTCTCTCTCTCCCTCTCTCCTCTCCTTTTTCAGTGTCACTTCATCGAGGTGGCATCGGCTGCGGAGCTAACGGGAGTGGAGGAGGAGGAGGAGGAGGAGGAGGAGGAGCAGGAGCAGGAGCAGGAGCAGCAGGAGCAGCAGGAGCAGCAGGAGCAGCAGGAGCAGGAGCAGGAGGAGGAGGAGGAGCAGCAGCAGCAGCAGCAGGCGCAGGAGCAGGAGGAGCAGGAGGAGGGGCAGGAGGGAGCAGGAGGGAGGAGGTGGCGATGCCTGCCTGCGGTGTGGGCAGGCAGGCTGCGCCCGCCCCCCCGTTGCGGCCGGGATGGCCACGGCGTCCGGCCGGCCAGCGGCGTCGGCTGCACCCTCTGGTCGGCGCGCGGCCCCGTGCCCGCCCGACACCCTTTCCGCGCGGCCGCGCGGCCGATGGGCTGCCTCTCCTCTCCCGCGGGTCCGCCCGCTCTCCTTCCCTCCCCGGAGGGAGGGAGCACGCGAGGCAGACTCGCAGGGGAGGGGGGATGGCTGGGATTGGCGACGAGGGAGGGAGGATGAGGAGGATGAGGATGAGGATGAGGATGAGGATGAGGAAGAGGATGAGGATGAGGATTGAGGATTGATGACTGATGATTGATGACTGGTGATTGATTGATTGATTGATTGATTGATTGATTGATTGATGATGGTGATGATGATGAGGAGGAGGAGGAGAAGGGGGAGGAGATAGGAGGAGGAGGAGGAGATAGGAGGAGAAAACATGATGAAGCATTATTGGGCGCCCCATGCCTCCGCACGAAAGACAAACATGGTGCTGGGTAGGTTCAGCAGACCTCGTCGCTTGGCGACTCGCGGCCCCACCGTGACGGCATGTTGGTTCGTGGGCGGCCCCCCAGGCTCGACCCCGCCGAAACAGTGGGCATTGCGCATTGGGGACTCGCCACCACCTTCACGGACGCACGGAGGAGGAGGAGGAGGAGGAGGAGGAGGAGGAGGAGGACAGCCGTGAGTGGACACACGGACCGATCGGATTTATGTGGCACTCGCCACCACCTTTCACGGAAACGCGAATCCTTGGGAGCCTTGCATGCCGCCACAGATGCCTGACTGACGCCGCCATCAGTCGGGCAAGGCTGAGGCCGAGGGCCGTGCTACACCAAGCGGCGGGGGCATCCCCCAGCCGAGCAGGTTCCGCAACGCCCAACCCCAGTCCAAGTTCCCTCTGCCTGCCATACCGAACAGAAGGCCGGTTGCCACTCACCCAGACCGTGGATGCAAGTTCCATTGACAGTGTGGGGGTAGGACTGGAAACCAGGATACGGTAGTCAGCCCCCGCCCAGGAGGACGAGATAGGAGGAGGAGGAGGAGGAGGAGGAGGAGGAGGAAGAGAAGGAGGAGGAGAAGGAGGATATAGGAGGAGGAGAGGCGGGAGGGGGATACGTAGGGGGAAGGAGATGCTTAAGGCGAGGAGGAAGGGATTGTGACAGAGTCATTGCCCGCATTTCGTGCGGTTGAGGTCTATCATTCTGGTTACACGTGCGGCCGTTGTTCGAGCGATGGCAGTTTCACTTGGCCCAACCCGTCCGCAGCTCACCCACCCAAGCGCCGCCCCCCCTCTATCACGAGGGTGTGCGTGTGTGTCTGCGTGTGTTTGTGTGCTGATGTCGATCGGATGTGTGTGTGTGTGCTTTCTGCATGGCTGGTGTCGGTAGGACCGCATCCTAAGCGATGCTGAGGGCCCTGCCGCCGCGCGCGCTGTCTGTTCACTTTGTCCGCCTCGTCGCTGCGCGCGAGATCGCTACTTCCCAAGGAGTGTGATTGTGTGAGCGAATGAGTGAGTGAGTGAGTGTGTGCGTGCGTGCGCCAGTTGGCGTACGTCATCTTCCACCCTCACCGTAGTTTTGTCTATTCATCGCCCTCCCCCGCCATCCAAGCCTGGATGATTATGGCTGCTGCCGGCTGCGAGGCTCTAAGCGGTCTCTGGGTGCTCGGCCAGGCGTAAACGCGCGCGCTTCACTGCCCGCGCCCGATTTTCTACGCCCCGTCGCCGCGCGCGAGGCCGCGACGCACAACAAGTGTATGCGTGGTCGGGGAGCTCCGTGGCCGCTGGACGTTTCGTTTGGATGTACAGCTCTTCCTTCACACCATTCATCGCTGCATTGACGGTGTGCACTTTTAGCACACTGTGCATTCGACAATATTCGATCGCAAGTGGCATTTTCATGTGCTGCTTGATGGTCCTCTGCGCCACCGACATAAAAGGTCGGGGAACTCCATCGCAGGTTGTCACGTCGCTTCGACGTAGCCCGTTTCAGCATTGATTGCAATTGCGTTGCCGCGTCGCTGGCGAAGCTGAAGCGTGTGTGACGGGGGAGGGGGCGCCTCCCAAACGCAGCGAGTGCTGTTTTCAAACACGCGTACACCCAGAGCGAACCCTGCGTTCGTGCCAAGTTCCGCCGCCCACCAAACCACCCCAACCCGCCCCCGAGGTTTCAATTTGCCTTCCGTTCCCAGCGAGGGGGGGGGCCCTCCATTCCATATGTGGAACCCGTACCCCCCCCCCAACCCGAAATTCGGGTTCTCGGGTTCGGGTGGGGTGGTCTGGTCGGCAGTCGAAGGCAAGCTCGCTCCAGCGACAGGGGGGTCTAGAGGAGACCAGGCCCAAGCATTCCGCGGTCGTCGGCCGCGCCGATGCCCAGCTCGCTTCCCGCCTTGGCCCTCGCATTTTTCTTGTTTTACCGTCGTGCCTCGCCCGCGGTCGCGTTGCTCTGCCGTGTCTGCTACGTCGTCCCCCAGCCAGCGTTACTTGCATAGCCGTGTGCGCCTGCTCTTTCGTTTGTCGCGACAAGCAAGTCTGTGCGTGCAATCACTGGCTTCGCCAATGGACAAGCCCGCCCAAGGTCGCAGACGGCGGCCGCGCGCGCGTCGATCGGAAATGCGGCGGCGGTGCCGCACGTATTTGCCACCGCCAGCCGGGCAAAATTGCTTTGGATGGCCACCAAGGTGGCCCAGGATGGCCCCAAGGTTCAAGGGACGGCCCAAACTTGCCCCCAAACGGTCCAAGATGGCCCCATGACGGCCCAAGATGGTCAGAAAATGGCCCGAGCTGTTCTTCAAACGCACCACGGCAGGCACGAGAGGATTCATGTGGACTCCCACGGAGTTTCGTTTCCTGGGCGGGGTATTCATGGGGGTTGATGCGACAGGGAAAGGGGCTGGCTTTCGAACGCAGTGATGACCCCCACCGCACCGCTTGACATTCTGCTGATTCTGATTCGCGCGATTCGACGCAGGCGAAGTGGCGGATCAGTTGTGGCCCTTGCGAGGCTCAAGTTGCAGTCGCCCGCCTTGAAAACACCATTCGCGGCCAATGGTATTCCGTGCAGAACGAACCTTGTGCGGGCACGACTCTGCTGTTTGTAATTGTTGTTTCTCTCCAGACGGGAAGAAGGTTCTCTCTGCTTCTTTTGACTTGACATTGAAGATATGGCTGGCGTCTGACGGTGCGCTGCTGCATACCTTGAGCGGGCACGACGAGTATGTTCTTAGTTGTTGATTCTCTCCAGACGGGAAGAAGGTTCTCTCTGCTTCACAGGACTCGACATTGAAGATATGGCTGGCGTCTGACGGTGCGTTGCTGCATACCTTGAGCGGGCACGACTCTGGTGTTCTTAGTTGTTGTTTCTCTCCAGACGGGAAGAAGGTTCTCTCTGCTTCACAGGACTCGACATTGAAGATATGGCTGGCGTCTGACGGTGCGTTGCTGCATACCTTGAGCGGGCACGACGAGGATTTTGGTAGTTGTTGTTTCTCTCCAGACGGGAAGAAGGTTCTCTCTGCTTCACAGGACTCGACATTGAAGATATGGTTGGCGTCTGACGGTGCGCTGCTGCATACTTTGAGCGGGCACGACTATGGTGTTCTTAGTTGTTGTTTCTCTCCAGACGGGAAGAAGGTTCTCTCTGCTTCTTCTGACTCGACATTGAAGATATGGCTGGTGTCTGACGGTGCGCTGCTGCATACCTTGAGCGGGCACGACTCTGGTGTCCTTAGTTGTTGTTTCTCTCCAGACGGGAAGAAGGTTCTCTCTGCTTCTTTTGACTCGACATTGAAGATATGGCTGGCGTCTGACGGTGCGCTGCTGCATACCTTGAGCGGGCACGACGAGTATGTTCTTAGTTGTTGTTTCTCTCCAGACGGGAAGAAGGTTCTCTCTGCTTCTTTTGACTCGACATTGAAGATATGGCTGGAATCTGACGGCTCGAGCGGTTCTGGACAGAGAGCGGATGGGCGCCATGATGATTACATGCTCATGTATCAAACTGTCTGCGGCAGTTTCCGTCACTGTGCCAGTGCAGCATTGAAGTCCGAGCAGGATCGTTCTACCGTCTACCGAGTTCTGTCGAGGAGTTTCGCTAGAGTCAAGGCTCTGCAAGCCCCCTTGTTGGACGGTCTTAGATCGTCTTCGGTGCCATGGTTCTGGTCAAGTATTGTAGCACAGTGCTGTAGCTGCCTCGGTGTGGTCTGAGGTTGTCTTGGAGCGTGCTCGGGCTGTCTTGGTCGCCTCTTAGCGCAATCTTGGAGGCTTTCGGGTGCCTTTGAGGCTTCCTCGGGAGCCTCTGCGGTATTCCTGCAGCCGCCTTTCACCTAACATCTTGCAGCATGAGTTATTCAATGGGCTCGGCGTCACAGGGGACCTGTTGTGGAGTTTTTCGGGGCATCTTGTGCGTTGTGGGTTGTCTTTAGATTGCCTTGGGCCGGTCTTGGGGCATCTTGTAGCCATTTCGGGACGGGTTGGTGTTCAGCGCCATCTTGGGGCTACGAAGCTCGCTTGAGAACAAAGCGTGGGCACTTTTTGGGCAACTGCGCGAGTATGTTAGGCTGCAGCTCCTGCGAGGTTCAATTCAGCATCGGCGCTGTTACATCTCTGGTCGGACAGCGACAGACTCCCGCTCATCATCCGGCCCAACCCCGCCTAATCCGGTTGAACCCGGCTCAATCTTGGGCCTAGTTTGGGCTAATCCGGTGCAGTGGCCTTTGAATAGGGCGCAGTAGCCCTGAATCGATCTTACGAAGTCCTCCCACGAGTTGTCTCCTGAAGTATGGGGTCAGAGGCTTTTGGAACATATAGTCGAAGACGCCCGAGCGTGCGAGGGCGGGGCGGCGGATCGACTCGCGCACGCTGCCCAGATGCCTCGGCCTTCCCATTATTCTGAATACGGCATTGGCGCAGTGCCAGAAGATGACCCGTTTGGCCAGTTCATGTCGCACATTGTCCTCAGCACGGTTGCAAGCCACAGGTCAGAGGAGGAAGAGGTACCGGTACCGTTGCCCTTTTTCATTTGTTTTGCTTCCGTGGGCCTCCTGGGAGGCCTTCGCTGCCGCAGCTGGACTCGCCGCGAAATGTTTGGTCAGAACGCACCTCGGGAGACGTCCGGGGAGAGCAGCTGCTTCGGTATCTCTTTGGTCTCTCCGACAGGGAGTCCTACCGGTCTGCCGTGTACCATGAGCCGCCGCAGCTCGAGATCATCGGGGTGCGATTGGTAGTAAACCCAAGAGTGCAAGCATCTTACATGGCAAAGCTCGAGAACCTCGAGGGCAAGAGGCAGCGAAAGCGCATGTGGTCTCCAATTTCGGCTCTCTCTCATCTGAAAGTGCCGACGAACATATACGACTTCGACTTGAACGAGCATTTCTTATTCCATGGGGCTGTACCATCGACCCTAGAGAAGATATGCAAAGGTGGGTTCAATCCGCAGATGGGGGGTGAGACTTCTGGTAAGCTTTTCGGCACCGCCTCTTACTTCGCTGCGAATTCTTCAAACAGCGATGATTACACAGAAGATCGCGCAAATCAGTTGGAAAAGAATGCCAAGAGGACCTTAATGGTTGCCCGCGTTGCCCTTGGGGAGTCTTTTCGCGCGTCAGAGCCCATGCAGCAGATCACCAGGCCTCCAGACGACGACGAAGGCGTGGTCTTTGATTCGATATGGGCTGATACATCGAGACACGGTGGCTGCGTGGATCATCTCGAAGTTATGGTATTTTCGGAGGCGCAGGCACTACCAGTTGCGCTCGTGGACTACCGGCATGCAGTCGGCTGCACGTGCGCCTTCTGCTGGAGGCGTCCCTGAAACGCTGGACTGCAGATCAATTGCAAGACCGCATGGCTCGAGCAAGAGATCCGGTACAGTCCACGGGGCGGTCTAAATTTTGAGTCGATCGATCATCATTGTCCCGGAATCTCCAGGGAGTGGGATACCGAGGAGGAGAAGGAGGATCATGACCAGGACAAGGAGGAAGAAATGCGAGCCTAGGGAGGGAGGTAGGAGGGAGGAAGCGGGAGGGAGCATGAAGGAGGAAGTAAAGAAGAGGGAGGAGGGAAGGGACAGAAGAAAAGCACGAGGGGCACGAGGAAGAGGGACACGATGAGGAGAATCGTAGAGCTGCGCTGGTACCCTCAAGGGTAGGCCTAACCCTTTGTATGTAGTTTGGGGTACTTGAGTCCTCCTATCTTCGATCGTTGGTGCTAGCATGCATGCACATAGCCATACGCACGGATTGGCCCTTCCGTGCGCCATCGTTCTAGTCAAAGATCCGGTGGAGGTCAGAGACGGGTCGACCACCAGCACGTGGGAGCATCCCATGGACGAGGTGCTTTGCCACTGCTTGAACATGGCTTCGCCTGAGCCATGTGCCGAGACGGTCTGCGCCAGTCTGCGCCGTGCACACTACGCTCGTCTGATTTCTCGCCGCCCCGCAGACATCAGAAGTGGTCGGGAGTTGTTGTTGTCCAGCTGCAGGTGAAGAGCGATTCCACGAGCAGCTCGTCCGTGACCGACTGGCAGTTCGCACACCCGCGCCTCAGTCGTCGACGGCAGCAGTATCACCTTGAGCAGCACAACGAGAGGTTTGCGGGGAGCATCGGCAGCAGAGTACGCACCCCCACCCCCCACGCTCTTCTACTAGAAGTCCGCGGCTCTTTGCCTACCCCCGCCAGCATGTTGGGAAGCCGGTGTCGCGTGTCCGTTCCCTTCGAGGGCCTCTGGGTTTTGTCTTCCTCTTCCCACGACCCGTCCTCCTCTTCCTTGGCGTGAGGGCTCCGTGACAAACTGGGCAGCTTTTCGCCGCGAGGGGCAGGAAGAGATGGGAGGAAGAGGAGGAAAGGGAGGAAGAGAGGAGGGGAATGGATTGGAGGAGAGGAGAAGGAGTTGGAGGAGGAGGCAGTGGCCGATCCGCACACGCTTCCCCTGCCACCGCTCCTTCGCCTTTGGTATGGCCTGCTCTGATATTGCCTCGCCTGATCCAGCCTAGTTTTGTGTGGTCTGGCCGGGTCTGGTCAGGTCGGATCTTGTGCATACGTTCTGACCTGGTCTGGACGAGTAGAGGGAGGAGGAGGAGGAGGAGGAGGAGGAGGAGGAGGAGGAGAAGGAAGAGGCAGAGGAGACGAAGGGCGGGAGGATGACAGGAGAGAGGTATAACATACGAGAGAGAGAGAGAGAGAGAGAGAGAGCCAGAGCCAGAGCCAGAGCCAGAGCCAGAGCCAGAGCCAGAGAGACAGAGAGACAGACAGACGGACAGACGGACAGATAGACAGACAGACAGGCAGAGATACAGAGGGACAAAGAAACAGACCCCCGACCTCCTGGGACCCTGTGCCCCCTCGAGCCGCGCGCGAGGCCCGCCCAGTGCCCCAGAATCCCTCACCCCCGCGCCCCGTGCGCCTCAGGTGTACCGTGGGCTCCTTGCGCTGGTCAAGGATACCCGCACCAGGCTGCCCATCAGGCGGCCATGCCGCCCCACCCCCCGGGCCCAGGCCGCCTCGAAGAGATCGTCCTGAGCGAACGCGGGGCCTTCGAGGTTCGAGGTCAGAGGTTCCGAGACTCTCCGTCGGTTCTCGTCCTCAGTCGTTTTGTGGCCCCTCGGCATCGTCTAATCGACCCCAATCCCCACTGGGCCATGGTATCTCAGGCCCAGCAGCCCACCCCCCCCAGGTCGGGACAGGTCCCACGAAGCCCGAGGGGAACAGCATACATGTTCCCGGGCTCCCGGCCCACGCCCCCCCTCCCCCCCCAGATCGGATGGGCCCCAGGGCCCCACGACCCCCCCCCCCAGATGGAATGGGGGACGACAGCGACGACGACGACGACCACGACGACGACCACGACGACGATGACGGACGACGGACGACTGACGAGTGACGACGACAACGACCACCACGACGAAGACGACCACGACCACGACCACGACCACGACGACGGACGACGACCACGACCACGACCACGACGACCACGACGACGACGACGACGACCACGACCACGATCACGACCACGACGACGATCACGACCAGGACGACGACCGCGACCACGACGACGACCGCGACCACGACGACCACCACGTCGACGACGACGACCACCACCACCACGACCACGACGGGGACGACGACGAGGACCTATGTCCACGGCCACGATCATGACAACGACAACGACGACCACGAACACGACCACGAACACGACCACGATCACGACCACGACCACGTCCACGACCGCGACCACGACCACGACGACCACGACAACGACGACGACGACGACGACGACGACGACGACGACGACGACGACGACTACGACCAGGACCGCGACCACGACCACGACCACGACCACGATCGCGACCACGACCATGACCACGACGACGACGACGAGGACGACGTCGACGACTACGACCACGACTACGACCACGACGACGACCACGAGCACGATCACGACCACGATTACGACAATGACCACGACGACGACAACGACGGCGACCACGACGACGATGAAGACCACGACCACGACCGCGACCACGACCACGCCGACGACGACGATGACCCCGACGACGACAACCACGACCACGACCACGATCACGACCACGATCCCGACGACGACTACGACGACGACCACGACGACGATCACGACCACGACCACGACCACGACCACGACCACCACCACGACCATGACCGCCCCCACGACCACGAGAATGAATACGACGACCACGACGACGACCCCGACCACGACGACGACGACGACGATGACCACGACGACGACGACGACCACGGCGACGACCACGACGACGACGACCACGGCCACGGCCACGACCACGACCGCGACCACGGCCACGACCACGACCGCGGCCACCACCACGACCATGACCACGACCACTAGTATGAACACGACGACGACCACGACCACGACCACGAGTATGACCACGACGACGACGTCGACCACGACAACGACGACGACGACGACTACCACCACGACCACGACGACCACGACCACGACCACGATGACAACGACGATGACGACGACGACAACCACGACGACCACGACCGCGACCACGGCCACGACCACGACCGCGACCATGACCATGACCATGACCACGACGACGACAATGACCACGACGTCGACGATCACGACCGCGACCACGACCGCGACCGCGACGACCACGACGACGACCACGACAACGACCACGACCACGACGACGACGACAATGACGAAGACTACGACCACGACGACGACGACGACGACGACGACGAAGACGAGGACCACCACCAACACGACCACGACCGAGACACCGACTACGACCACCACGATTCCGACGACGACGGCCACGACCACGACCACGACCACGACCACGACGACGTGCACGACCACGACCACAACGACGACGACGACCACGACCACGACCACGACCACGACCACCACATTGACGACGACGACCACGACCACGACCGCGCCCACGACCACGACCACGACCAGGACCACCACAACAACGACGACGACGACAACGACGACGACGACGACGACAACGACGTCGACCACGACGACAAGGACGACGTTCGAGCGACGACGGACGAGTGATAACGGACGACGACTACGACCACGACCACGACCACCACGACGACGACGACGACGACAACGACGACGACGACAATGACGACGACGGCGACGACGACGACGACGGCGACCATGACGACGTTCGCGCGACGACGGACGAGTGACAACGGACGACGGCCACGACCACGACGACGACGACGACGACGACGACGACGACGACGACAACATCGACGACGACGACGACGACGATGACGACGACGACCACGACCGCGACCACGGCCACGACCACCACGACGACGACGAGCACGACGACAGCGACGACGATGACGACGACCATGACCACGACCACGACCACGACGACGATGACAACGACCACGACCACGACCACGATTACGACGACGACGAGGACGACAACGATAACGAAGACGACGACCACCACCACCACGACCACGACCACGGCCACGACCACGAAGACCACAACCATGACGACGACAACGACGACGACGACAACGACGACGACCACGACCACCACGACGACGACGATGACGACGACAACGATGACGACGACGATGACCACGGCCACGACGACGACGATGACGGACGACCGACGACGGACGAGTGACGACGACAACGACCACCACGACGACGAGGATGACCACGGCCACGACCACGGCCACGACCGCGACCAGGGACGACGACGGACGACGACGGACGACCACGACCACGACCACGACCGCAACGACGACGACGACCACGACGACGACCACGACCACGACCACGACCACGACCACGACCACGACGACAACGACGACGACGATGATGACGACGACGACGACCACGACCACGACCACGACCACGACGATGACGGACGACGGACAACGGACGACGGACGAGTGACGACGACAACGACCACCACGACGACCACGACCACGACCACGACCACGACCACTACGACGGACGACGACAGACGACGACAGACGACCACGACAACGACCACGACCACCACCGCGACCACGACCACGACCACAACGACGACGACAACGACGACGACGACGCCACAACCACAAGGGGGGGACCCATTAGCATTTGGGGCAGGGGCGGCCGTGGACCATGTATCCCCAGCCTGCTCCAGCTCCCTGTCCCCTGCTTCCTCCTTCTCTGTGCCTGCTGAATCCGTTCGTCGTCGTATGCCTGCTTCTCCCCTCCTCTTCCCCCTCCGCCGGGCAGCGTGGCGGCGCGAAGGGCTATGACGGTTTTTCCGCACGGAAAATGGTAACTTACATCCCCACTTGGGAGGTAAGTCGGCCAGTGGGTCCAAGGCCGTGCCAGTGGGGAC